TTTTTTTTTTTTTCAATGATTTTAATGTAATTTTCAAGTAAAAAATAATTTTTACTATATATCCATCTATAAATTTTTTAAATTATCCACTCACAAATTATTTACTATCATTTGAATATATAACTAGTGAGCAACCCGTGCGATGCACGGTGAGGCTTGTTCCTCAAAACCTATTTAAAACTTTATTTTTAAATATAATTACTAAAGTTTAAACATTTTATTTTGGCAAAAAAATAGATACAGAGTATGAAAAATCATATATTGTTGAACAGTTCCCTATACACAATATTTTTTATTTGAATATGTGGCAAACTTTCTTGTCAACAAATTAAAATTTTCAAACAATTGTGTGAAAAAAATTAAATTATAATATATTATTTATAGTGTAAGAAATCGTAATATATTATTTTAGTGTGATAAAATGTGTTGGGATAACTATGACCATTTGAAAAAATATTTAATAGTAATCTTAAAACTTTAATAAATTTAAAAAGATAAATATGACCATTTGAAGAAATATTTATTTGTAATCTTAAAATTTTAAATTTTGACAAATGATTGTATATATGCGCCAAGTTTTTAGGAACCAATTGATCATATAATATAAATTCTTATATGATTTCCAGAGTCTTACGAACGTGACATAAACTTCATTTTTTAATTTCAAATTTAAACAAATCAAAAGACAAATTATTAGGTAGTTATGAAAAAAAGTATCCAACAAACTATTTTTTAATTTCAAATTTAACAAATTAGAAGACAATTATTAGGTAGTTATGAAAATAGTCTCCAACAAACTTCAAATTAAACGACACACAACCATCAGATCTAGAGTTGGTTGCAGTCGGTGATCACCACCCGTCTCGAGGTCCGGTGGCTCCCCGACCCGACATTCTCCACCGCCTTCAATATGTCGTACTCCTCCACCACCTGCCCGAACACCACGTGCTTATTGTCAAGCCACTTCGTCCTTGTCGTGCAGATGAAAAAGTACGTGTCATTTGTCCCCGGAACAGCCTTCGCCATTGACAGGTCCCGGTGTGCTTTCTCATGATGTTCTCGTCGGTAAACTTGGCGTCGTAGATCGACTTGCCGTCGTTACCCGCAGTGAAGTCACTGCTCTGACAAATGAAATTGGGGATTATACGATGGAAGGATGACCCTTTGTGGTGGAGGGGCTTGCCAGATTTGCCGATGTCCTTCTCGTTGGTGCATAGGGCACAAAAGTTCTCATCGGTCTTCGTGACGACGTCGGCGAAGATCTCCATCACGATTCAACGGCGGGGCTGCTGATCGTTATGTCGAAGTAAACCCTAGGATTCGATAGGTTGATTTGAATTTTTTATTTAGGAGTTTTTTGTGATTTTTTTTTTATTTGTGACTAACTGATTTTTTTTTTGTCTCAAACTTAGGGTTTTGTAATTGGGTGGGGAGGGGTTTATATAAGGGATCGATTGAGTGCAAACTTTAAAAAGATGGATTCTTTCTAAACTTTAAGAAGATATTGTAGTTAGATAAATATGGAGAAAAAAGTATTTACCAGGAATTCACATAATATGAGATTCTTTCCAAACTTTAAAAAGATTTTGTAGTTTAATAGATATGGACAAAAAAATATCCATAGATAGAGATTTACCCGGATTTTCAAACCTTTTTTGGTATATATATATATATATATATATATATATATATATATATATNNNTTTTTTTTAATAAATTCATTATCAGTAAAAACGAAAAATTTAGGGGGGATTTTACATACTATTCACAACTAAATGGTTTGCCTTATTATATATTCATAGATATATATTTAAGTTGTGAATTTTTTAATATTATATGATTATATGGCTAAAAATATGTTAGTTTCAATCAAATAAGTCATATATTATTTCAGTTAAAGAATATAAACCACCAAAAAATAGAAAAGTAGTTAGGATATATGCCATAAAATAATGTAATTTATTATTTTTAAGAATAACAAATCAATATATTTACACACAAAATTCATAAATATAAATAATTTATGGATTAGTATAACATCCATTATTCTCGGAACAACTTTTTGTTTGATTTGCAACATTAATTTGAATGAAAAAAAATCCGTAATTGTGGGAATATCTTGATTCAAAATCTCAATTTTTTGGCATAAGAATCTCCAAATTTGTTACCAATAAAAATGAGATTCGTATTGATGAAATGAATTAAAGTTTGGCATAAGAATCTCCAAATTTGTTACCTTAAGAATCTCCAATTTTTATGGGATATCTCATAAAATTTGATTCCTAAAGAAAATAAGTTATTTCAATCAAATAATTCACATATTATTTCAATTAAAGAATATAAACCACAAAAAAATAGAGAGGATGTTAGGATTTAGGTCATAAAATAATGTAATTTATTATTATCTAAGAAAACCAATCAATATATTTACACACAAAATTTATAAATATAAATAATTTATGGAGAATTGGAGTTTATCAATATTTAGTATAATATCCATTATTCTCGGAACAATTTGTTGTTTGATTTGCAATATTAATTTGAATGGAAAAAAAATCCATAATTGTTGGGATATCTCAATTCAAAATTTCAATTTTTGCCATAAAAATCTCCAAATTTGTTNAAAAATGAGATTCGTATTTATGAAATGAATTAAATTTTGGTATAAGTATATCCAAATTTGTTACCTTAATAATCTCCAAATTTGTTACTTTAAGAATCTCCACATTTTTTGGGATATCTCCCTTAATTTTGATTTCTAAAGATTCACATATGCTTTTTTCAAAATTTTTACTAATAGTAAGTCAACACATTATTTTTAAAGTCAAAGTTACTATTTTTGTATTTTTCCAACAACCTCTTTATATTACAAATAGATTTGACGTAGGATTGATTCTATGAATGATGAGGTATTTAATATAATTGCAATATACACTTTTAAAAAAAAATATATATTAATCCATTATTTTTTAAGCAATATATAATCGAAAATATGAAACTTGTAAAATGTTGAATAATTAAACTTTTCAAAAGACTTCTAGTTTGTTAATTTAAGCACATTCTAGTTTTTTTAAATTGTGACATTGTTTAGAAAACCATATTTATTTAGAATTACAGTTTACATATTTATTTTCTCTTGAAATAATCAGTTAATATATTGACACTCCTACATATATAATTTTGTAAGTGATTTTACAAATTTGTTATATAAAAAAATTAATTTTAAAAACAGTATGAAAATGTTAAACTATAATATTATGAGATGTTAAAATGTTTAAAATTAAAAGCAATCCCACTTTCATATAAGTTTATCTCTCCCTCTTGCATTTTAATTTAATTTAATACAAGTCTATCTCTTCATAAAATGTGTACAGTTATAGATTAAAGTAAATTTCATCCAATGGTCATTAAAAAACACAGCACCCNTATTAAAAGAATGGGAAACATTCTCTCTCCTCTTGCATTCTAATATAATACAAGTCTCTCTTCATAAAATTTGGACCATTAGATTAAAGTATCAAGATCTAAGGGTCATTACTAAACACAGGAGAGGGTGTTGTGCAAGTTTGCACTGCTGAGCCCCTCGATCCATGTTTTGTGGATTAGGGGGCTCTGCTGTGCAAATTTACACAGCACCCACTCGTGTATTTTGTAATGCCTTTTGGAAATGCTTATTTGCCAACATTTATGTTACATTACATTTAAAAATAAGAATAAAAAAGGTTTTAAATATTAATTATATAATATTACATCTATACTTATATAAAAGGAGATTCTATTTACTATATTTACTATCCAGAAAGCCAAACTGCATTAAATACCATTACTATTTTGGTATTATAATATTTTATTTATTTAATTGATTTATTTATTTATTTTATTTTAAAAAGGTAAGTATAATAAAAAGATTTTAATAATAAAAAAATTAAATACCAAATAAAAATGTACACTTTGACTTATTTGATTATATTTGGTATTTGATTATACCAAATATATTCCTATTTAGTATATACATTAAATACTTACTAAAGTATTTATTTGTTTTATTTGTCAAAGTTAAGTATAGATTTGTTTATATTATCAAATCATAAAAAAAGTATTAAATCCATATTGTAA